GCGGGGCCGTGGCCGCCGCCGCTGGGGCCGCCGAGGGCGGGGAACTGTCGCCCAAGGAGGAGCTGCTGCTGCACCCGGAGGACACCGAGGGCAAGGACGGCGAGGACAGCGTGTGTCTGTCCGCGGGCAGCGACTCGGAGGAGGGGCTGCTGAAGCGCAAACAGCGGCGCTACCGCACCACGTTCACCAGCTACCAGTTGGAGGAGTTGGAGCGGGCCTTCCAGAAGACGCACTACCCGGACGTCTTCACCAGGTATGCGCTGGGGGCGGGCGGGCTGGGGGTCCCTGGGGCTTTCACTCCAGGGCGCGATCCCCCCCCTGCCCACCTTCCCGCTCCCCCCGGGCTCTAGGAGTTGGCCGGGCCTGGAGGGGGCCTTTCTCCCCAAGGCGCTCTGGAGTTTGGTTGGATTTTCTCCAACTACTCGTTTAGTTAGAGAAAAGGGGCTACCTTCTCCAAAGCGCTCCTGAAAGTGCCCCTGGGAGAGGCTCACAAGCCGCGGCCCGGCGGGGCCTCCAGCTGCTGGCCACTGTGCAGCGGGCGCAGCCGGGTGGAACCTGGGCTATTTTTGGCCTCCGCACGGTGCCCCGGAGCCCGCCTGGTGTCAGTTAGGCGTCCTCCGCAAATCTGGAGTGGGGGTCCTGCTGGGGAGGCCTTTCTAAAGCCAGAGCCCTGTGGTCTCAGAGCTCCTGAAATGCCTTGAGGAAGTCAGAGCTAGGCAGGAAGTCTTGACACTTGGAGACACCAACCAGAATCTTGACCCTCTGCTCTGGCTCCCCCATCAACCGCCCCCTTCAGCCCCCAACTCCAACCAGAAACCCAGGGTGCGTTGTAATGCACATGGAATAACGGGAGCAGGCCGAGATGGGTGGGAGTTTGGCTGGCCGCGGATGAGCAAAGGGGGACATTTTACTCTGTGGAAGAGTGCCCAAGCCGGCTTTGGGCCTGGCCAAGCAAGGGCCTCTTCCCCCTGGCCCATTTTGCTGGGAGACTTGGGATTTGTGGGACTAGACCCCTGGGCCCCCGGCTTACACAGTTGGCCTGGGGCGTCAGCCGGCCGGCTGGCTGGGGGCCTTCTTCTCCTACCCCAAGGCCAAGGCTGGACTCAGGCCTGGAGCTAGGGTTAGGGTACTCATCCCCTAGTGGGCAGGGAGCGAAGGATGGGGGTCTGCGGGGGCTCAGAGTTTTTCAAAGTGCGCTACCAAACCTCCGGGCTGCCAGCGCCTTGGAGCTGCAGGAGAAAGCAGAGTGGGCCTGGCGATCTCCTAGCATCCAGGTCCAGGGCAGGTGCCACCGTTGTCCCGCAGGAGCTAAAAGTGGCCCTCTGCCATGCTATCCAGTCCCCTCCCTAAGCTTTCTAAAAAAGAGAGCCAGACAGACAGAAGAAAAAGAAACCGAATTCAAACTCGGTGAGTGCAATCCAGAAGCCAGTTGGCAAATTGGCTTTTTGCATGCCTCACAAGTGGGTCTTTGGAAAAGCGGCAAGCCAGCTGGTGTCGCTTGCCATACATCCTGGCCCTCTTTAGCGTTTTGGGGGCAAGCAGGGGCAGACCCTCTTCTCTGCCCCACCCTCACCTCCTTCACGCCCAAGGGTCAAGGCCCCTGAGCTGGGGCCCTTTTAGGAGTGCTGAGCCCCGGAGGGGGCAGGGGACAACCAGAAACCCAGCGTGCACTGGGCTCCACTGCTTGAAGTGTGAGGGGCAGCCTGGGGTCCCCTGCCAGCAGCAGCAGCCCCGGGGCCCCAGGCTCGGGCAGCCCCTGCGCTTTCATATTAGCGAGGGGAGAGCCAATTATTCTCGGCGCGCTCATATTTTCGGTAAACAGGTCGTAAGCCGTTTTACAGCATCTTAATGGTTTCCTATTTGCCTTAATTGTCGCAGTAATAACTGCAATGACGGGGTAGGGTTTCAGCTAAATTGACTTCCCCTGAGATAGGCAGGGTTTGTAGTGGGCACTGGAGTCAGGAGGTGCGCAGAATTTTGTTTAATCGAAAAATTACCCCACTGAACTCTTAACAAGCTTAACATATCTCTAGAGGGTAATGGGGATTGTGACCCGTAGGGCAGGGAAGGAGGGAGGTGGGCAGGCAGCGGAGGGCTAGAAAGAGATGGAGCAAAAGAGGAGGGGAGATTAACCACACACACAAAAAACAAACCCACAAATCAGAAAGAAGCCAAGAAGGTGGGTTTTTTGTTTGTTTTCTTTTATTTCGCTTCCCCCATCTAATATTAGGTGTGTGCTGTGCGCGCGCGTTTCTGGCCGGACTAGCTAGGAGAGAGAAAGAGGTCGACAAGTGTCCAGTTTGGTGAACTTGTAGATTCAGGGACCACCCCTGTCACGCGTGAATGTCATGTAATTAATATGGTATCTGGTGAGTGGCAATGCATTGTGGTTTTGTGTTTCCACTCACACAGTAGGCACTCCACAGTGGTGAAGGAGAATGATGCCTGTGTTTGGGGAGGGGGCAGGCAGCCCCCAGAGAGACTCTCCTGGAGGAGACCCCCCACCGGGAACTGAGAGGTGCTGGGGGTGCTGCTGGGGCCTGCTGTGACCTGTCTGTGTTGCTCTCTGCAGGGAGGAGCTGGCCATGAGGCTGGACTTGACTGAGGCAAGAGTCCAGGTGAGCTGCACAGCAGAGAAGGGAGGCAGGGAGGGGAGGGGGAGAGAGGGAGATCCGCTCTGATGGGTGATCTGGGGGGTCCGGATGCATAGGAGTTAGACACCCTCCACACCCTCATAAAATGAATCTGGAAAAAAAGCCCCCAAAGAGACCCTGGCAGAAAAGGAGAATTCAAACGTGAAGGAAGACTGCCTAGGTTGGCATGAGGAGTGGGCAGAGAGGTGTTTCGGGGGGTTGGGGAGCCTGAGGCAGGAAGGCGTCCAGATCTGAACCAGGGTTTTAGGGTTCCCAAGACTGCAGTTCAAGAGCCCCCGCCCCCCCTCAGTCCCTATAGGAAACCATCCACAGACCAACTTCTCCAGATTGAAATAATGGGATGGGGCATGGATTTGGTTGTTAGACAAATCCGCTCAGCTCCAAGCAGGTATTTGGCTGCGATTAAGTCTCCAATCGGGCTTCATAAAAGCCCACTTAGTGCTAGAACAAACAGGGCCATTTGAAGGCAAAATGCTGTTTGATTTCCCCTCCGCCCGCACAAGGAGCTGGCTAATGCTATTTGATTTCCCATTTTTTATAGCAATGAGCCCACATTGATCTAATAGGGAGTGAGTGCAATGCTATTAAAGGTGTTTGCAGCCCCATACCAGAGTGCATTTCCAAACCCAGGCCTCATAACCAAAGAGACGATCAACACTGGGCAGCCCCGATGGCCAACAGAAAACAGATGTCCCCAGGTTCGGAGCTGAGTGAATCACTTTACAGTCAAAAGCAAGCGCTGATAAAGCACAATAAATTCCATATGGCTCATTTACTACACAACAGCTTCTTGCATTAGAGGGCTAATGATGAGGCCTGTCCCCTCCTTTCTGTTGACACATTTCTCCATTGTCAAACAGAGATGTGACAGCGATTCCCCATTTTCATCTCAGGGGAGCGAGTCGTGGGAAAGTTAAATAACTTTTAAAAAGAAAGAGAGTGCCCCTCCCCTTCTCCTCTCCCCCTATTCACTGGGGAAGATGTAATTAAGCGAATATGAATTATTAGAGTCCTTTCGTTTACCTTTGGGGGGCCTTTGAGGTATTAATTCAATAATGAGGAATGGCAGGGGATATCTTGATAATTGCAACTGAGGGGCGGGGGTGGTGGTGCAGAGAGGAGCCCTCTGTGAAAGGTCTCCATGTCTTTAAGGGCCTTCTGCCTCCACTGCCCGGTTTCCATGTTTTTTCTCTTTTGACTGCCGGCCAGGAGTGGCGGACAATCTGGTCTAGACAGATTTGAATACACAAAAGCTGCCCACCCAGCCTGGTCCCACCTCAAGCCTGACTTTCAAGCCCCAGAATTTCCAGGCTAGTGTGTGTTTCTGTACTTCCCACATTGCTACGGGGGTGTTAGAGATGCTCCCCCCACCACACACACATCCTTTAAGCAGGGTTAAAAAATGTTTAATTAATCTCATCCCTTTCCAAAGTCAAACCAAGCTCAGCTGCTAGTGCAGGTAACACAGCCATCAACTCCCCCTCACCCCCGCCCTGGGGGCAGTTTTAAAGACACCAATCAATGTCTTTTATAATTAAGAAAGAGAGGGAAAAGAAAAAAAAGTGATCTCCTCTGAGATCACTTGCAGTATATTTTAATGTAACTCTCTGTATCATGCTGGAGTTCATTCTTAATTTTGAGACTTGTATGCAGGCACCAGCCCAGCCCTAAAAATAGGAAACCCTTCAGGTGTGGGTGTGATGAGCAGGTCACAGCAAAATACCTCCATGCGAAGGGGGGTTATTTTTAGGCAATGGTAACTTCAGGTAAAGGTCTCTACTGAAATGGCTTTCTAGTAACAATGAGGAAGCTCCCTTGTGCCGACAGCCTCCCCCAAGCTGAGAACAAGCTTCTTTAAGGAACCTATGGAATCCACGTCCCCCAAAGCAATCCAAGAACCTGTTAGCTGTGAAGGTTTGGAAAGTGTCTCTGCTGTATCTTATATCCTGGCTTTTAGGCGCCATGCCTCATCCCTGCAATCAGCGCTTTCTTGCCTGCTCCCACCCCCAGGCTGTGTACCCCACATTTCATTTTATGGAGAATCAACCCCCTTAAAATGGGTGCTTGGTGGTTAGTTGCCAGGAGCATTCCTTCCCTCCCTCCCCTTCCCCAAGCTCAGAACCCAACTTTAGGCTGGGAGGTATTTAAGAAATCTTTAGAGGTAGAGGTTTGGGACAGTTCTTGGGTCAACCTAGACTAGGTGACCCGAAGCTGATCCTAAGCAAACGCTTCACCCATCTCTTGGTGCCTGCCCCTTTCAAGGAGTTGCTATGGACAGGATGTTCTTCACAACAGCCTTAGGAGCAAAATCTTAGCACCCCCGTTTCACAGAGTAGAAAACTGAGGTTCAAAGAGGCTCCCAGCAAGCAGGCCACAGGGCCTTCCATGGCCCGCCGGTCCCTGCCCCTACAG